TATATATATATATATAACTTTTTACCTACCTATATATTTTTTCAAGTGTCATAAGGTTTAGTAAAGAAATAGATAAAGTCACATAAAATAATAGAAAAATCATTAATTTTGTAGACATATTGGTTAACAAGATGATTTAAATGCTTTGAGAGCATGAAATGAAAATTAATTGAGTTTAAGATGTATAAGAAAATATATTCAAAGGTTTAAATTATAATTATAATTATAAGAAAACATATTTAATAAACCAATAAAGTGTTCATATTTATTTATTTTTTCTACATTTTATTATTTTGATGTAAAATGATTTACAATTATGTTAGCACTAGTACAAGAGGTATTCCACGTCAGTTATTTTGAACTTTTTATATCGAAAAAAATACCGACGTTAATGCGGGAGACGTAAATTTACGTCGACCCTGTAAAACTGACGTAAATTTACGTCGGACATTACCAAGGTCCGACGTAAAAAAGTAGTAAAAAAAAAACATAACGAGTGCAAGCAGAACGGGCCGTTTTGCTTGGAGAACGGGTCGTTCTGCTTGGAGAACGGGCCATTCTACTTCGTAGAACAACCCGAAAGAAAAGGCCAACGACCTATACAAATAGAACAACCAAAAAATCGAATAGAACAGATAGCCACAATAGCAATGCGAAGCAAAAAGGTGTTAACGAAACCTTGATTCATATCTGATGAGCTGCAATAGTGTGAATGAGTAACAAAGAGTTCACCCCACTCTGCAAAAGCCAAAAAACGATTCAGTAACAAAGGAGAGGGAGAGGGTTTACAGAGAAAAAAATGAAAAGTGATGAAGAGTGAATGCGCGTAGTGTGCCTCGCACTCTCTTTTTCAATTTCGCGTCCTTTTTTTACGTCGGACTTGGTAGGATCCGACGTAAAATGTCAAATCTACGTCGGACACAACATACATCCGACGTAGATTTGACATTTTACGTCGGTCCCTACCAGGTCCAACGTAAAAAAGTTCGTAAAAATTACAAAAATGTCACTGTTTCTTTTTTTATGTCGGATTTTAGTGTGTCCGACGTTAAAGAGGTAACGTAATATACTAATTTTTTACTAGTGTAGGGTCAAAAACACACAAAATAAAATGAAAATGGATCTGAAGAACGTTAACGTCGTGGCACATCCTTTTTATATCTTGGTTATTGTAAGGTTTTAATCTTGAATGGTTTAATTTGAAGATATGTATATTTTTCTCAATATATTCA